GCCAGTGGGCTTTCTGTGTCTGTCAGCGACAGTTTCTGTCTGGGTCACAAATCACAATAGCGGTGACCAGGGTGCAGGGCCGTGTTGAACCTGCGGATGGTGACGAAACATGCGAGAACCCAGCCCCAGCGCAGCATCAGCTCTGTCGCCACCCTGCCTGTGCCCTAACCAGCCTCCTCGTTACAAAGGTCGGCAAGAGCGGGAACATTCCAGCGGGCACGACCGTGGACACGAAGATCACACACCCGACCGAGTTTGACTTCTACCTGTGCAGCCACGCCGGCATCCAGGTGAGCACAGCGGGCGCACTCGGGGGCGCCCACGCCCTGGCTGCACGGACTGGAGGCAAGGTGGCCCTCGGGGTGCGGCCCTCGGGGTGCTGGTGGCAGGACCTCCCTGGGAGGCCTCATTTTGTTGAGATCCAGGCAGGAGGGCAAGTGTCCAGGGCAGGTGTCGCGTGTCTGGGGCCTTGTGAGCTGAGAGGTGAGGCTGAGCGGGGACGAGGCCCCTGGCTGCCGTGGGGTGGGACAGCAGGCTGGGCCTCTGTCAGGACGGGCTCCAGCTGTGCCCTGGGCACACAGGAGGCCGCTCGGGGGCTCTCAGTGGCTAACAGTGCGACCACACAAGGGCCCCACCCACTGCAGGCGCTGGCCCTCCCTGGAGAGCACCTTGCCGTCAGCAGCCCTCGGCTTTCCAGATGGGACGCAAGGTCCCTCCCCAAAGAATCAGGACCTAAAATTTGGGAGCTCACTGTGAACTTGGCCTTGATTTATATTCACTCGGTTTGAAAGAGAGAAAGAGGCAGGGCCCTTCCATCCTCTGGTTCATTCCCTAAACACCTACGACGGCCAGGCTGGGCCGGAGCCCTGCACGCCGTCCAGGTGACGGGGCCGACACCTGCTTCCTCCTGGCGGGTGTCAGCATCAGAGGCAGAGCTGGGACTTGAACCCAGGCACCCTGATCCCCCGCTGGCGTCTTAGCTGTGTACCAGATGCTGCTCCCGAACGTGAACTGTTGATGTTCCAGTGGATGTATTTAAAATTCCGTGTCACTGATGCCACTGTTGGCTAGGGAGCTGTGGCCCGGGCCACGTGTGGTCTGCCGCCCAAGAGCCCAGGCTGGTTGCACACTGAGTGGCAGGTGGCCGCCCTGGAGCTGTCCACCGCCCGCCAGGGAGCAAGCAGCAGGCCGTGCCGCGTGTCCCCGGCCCGGCTCCGCACACTGCCAGGGCCTCCGTGGCTGCTTTTCAGGAATTTGCTGAGTGGTTGGGGCTGTGCCGGCAGGGCCTGGCGGGGGAGGGCAGCTCAGCTGCTGCTCTCGTTGCAGACTGGAAGCTGCCGAAAACTGCAGAGAATGATGGGTGTCCCAGCCCCCGGTCTGAAGTGCTGCTGACCGCGGGGCCTGGGAGTGGAGATCCTTTTCTGTGGGTGTAGAGGAGGGAGCCCTGATGCCTGCAGGGGTGCTTGAGAGCTGGTGGGGCCGTGGGCTGAAAAGCTAGGTGCGTTTTCCATGAACTTTTTGAAACCCCTCATAACAGATGACACGGCCTTCAGTGTGGCCACTTGAAGTGTGTGATCAGTGCACACTGCGTGTGCTTATGCAACACGGGAGTGCGCGCCGGATTGAGAGAGAGAGAGAGAGAGAGAGAGAGAGAGAGAAGAGAGAGAGACAAGAAACATCCTGCCACGGCCAGGGCTGGGCTGGGCTGGAGCCAGGGGCCAGGAGCTCCCTCTGAGTCTCCCACGTGGGTGCAGCGCCCAGGGACGTGGGCATCTTCTGCTGCCCGCCCAGGCCTAGCAGGGAGCTGGGTCTTACAGTGGAGCAGCTGGGACACAGACCGGTACCCACGGGGGATGCTGGTGTCGCAGGCCGAGGCTTTGCCCGCTGCACCACAGCGCTGGCCCTGAAACACTTCTCATTTTCTTTGTGTTGGGAATATTCCAAACCTAGTGTGTGGGTGTGCACACTCTCACACACACCTTTATCTGGGCGGAGTGGGGGACGGAGAAAGCTGCCACCTGGTAGCTCGCTCCCCCGATGCCCATAGCAGCCCTGACTGGGCCAGGGGAGCGCAGTGCGGTCTCCACAGGGGTGCAGGGACCCCGCCGCCGGGGCCGGCAGTGACTGGCCGTCCAGCCAGGCGCTCTCATCTGGGACGCCGGGCTTCTTTTTGTCTTAAATGTATGTATATGTGGCCGGCGCCGCGGCTCACTAGGCTAATCCTCCACCTAGCGGCGCCGGCATACCGGGTTCTAGTCCCGGTCGGGGCACCGGACTCTGTCCCAGTTGCCCCTCTACAGCTCTCTGCTGTAGCCAGAGAGTGCAGTGGAGGATGGCCCAAGTGCTTGGGCCCTGCACCCCATGGGAGACCAGGATAAGTACCTGGCTCCTGCCATCGGATCAGCGTGGTGCGCCGGCTGTAGTGCGCCGGCCGCGGCGGCCATTGGAGGGTGAACCAATGGCAAAAGGAAGACCTTTCTCTCTGTCTCTCTCACTGTCCACTCTGCCTGTCAAAAAATAAATAAATTTTAAAAAAAGTATGCATATGTATGTCTTTTGAGCCGCATCCATCACTGGTGAATTCCCTCACGGCTTACAGTGGCTGGAGCAGGACTCTGGGACTGAGCCAGGTCTCCTGTGCCGGGCGGCGGGCGCCTCCCGGGGTCTTCACTGTCAGGAGTCTGAGCCCAGGAGCACACTGCACTTTGGGCCAGGTACTCAGACGTGGAACAGAGCACTTTTTTTAAAGATTTTATTTATTTATTTATTTATTTATTTGAGAGGCAGAGTTACAGACAGAGAGAGGGAGGGACAGAGAGAAAGGCCTTCCATTCATTGGTTCCCTCCCCAAATGGCCACAACAGCTAGAGCTGGGCCGATCTGAAGCCAGGAGCCAGCGGCTTCCTCCTGGTCTCCGACATGGGTGCAGGGGCCCAAACACTTGGGCCATCCTCTGCTGCTTTCCCAGGTGCATTAGCAGGGAGCTGGACTGGAAGAGGAGCAGCCGGGACTCGAACCGTGCCCATAGAGCCATGCCGGCGCCGCAGGCAGAGGCTCAGCCCACTGCGCCCACAGCGCTGGCCCCAGGCGTCTTAACCCTCGGCTGAACGGCCACTGCTGCGAGGCGCGGCCGCTGCTTCGCGCTGTGTGCGGCGTTGCTGTGTGGACGCTGGCTGTGCAGCCAGCTCTTCACACCCAGCTCTTCACACCCAGCTCTTCACACCCGTGCTTTCAGCAGTCAATGATGCGGCGCTGAGTCTCTGTCCAAATCTCCCTGCACGGATCTTGTGTCTAAAGATCTCTCGCAACTGACTGGCGCTCCGATGTGCTTTCAGGGGACAAGCAGGCCCTCCCACTACCACGTCTTGTGGGATGACAATCGCTTCTCTTCCGATGAGCTACAGATCCTGACCTACCAGCTGTGTCACACCTACGTGCGTTGCACGCGCTCCGTCTCTATCCCGGCGCCGGCTTACTACGCTCACCTGGTCGCCTTCCGCGCCAGGTACCACCTGGTGGACAAAGAACACGACAGGTGGGTGTTGTGTGACGTCGCGGCTGCCGGGGCGCCCCTCCGCAGCCCCAGTTAGTGACGGCCGTTCTCTCTCTGCCCGCCCCCCCCCCCCCCCGGCCCTGCAGCGCTGAAGGAAGCCATACCTCTGGGCAGAGCAACGGGCGAGACCACCAGGCCCTGGCCAAGGCCGTGCAGGTCCACCAGGACACACTGCGCACCATGTACTTTGCTTGACGTGTTTTCGTGTCCGGCGATTGTCACGTGAGACCAGCCACACTCAGACCACAGAGGCCCAGCCCTCCCCGACAGCCAGCACCGGGCAGCCGACCGGAGACGCCACTGGTTTTACCCGATTCTCCATTTTCCAGAATGCCTTCCGTCCCAGATTTCAACTCGGATTTTGAACTGCAGGCCTGTATGAGACCCCACCGCCGTAGGAAATGTGGTTTGCCAAAATCTATGAGCTGCTGATTAAAAGTAGAGTCCCGTGTCTCCTAAAATTCTCCTAAAACCAGTCTATGAACTCAGGGCTTTAAAACATTTTTAATTTATTTGGTCATTGAATTTACTTGTTTTTAACACATGATTGTCTGTGAAATTGATGGGCTCAAACTAGCTGTGAACCTCCTCTGAGAGAAAGCAACAGAAGCACCATTGTGGTTTTAAAGCCTTGAACATTCTGATGTCGTCACGACACTGCAACCCACGCGGCACTCGTGGCTCCTGGCATGGCGGGCAGCCCCGCCACACCAGCTGCAGGTGCCTCCCGCCGAGGGGCGGTGGCAGAAGACGGACCGCGTGTGTTCAAAGCGCTGACAGGTCCAGAGAGATTGGCAGACAAGTGCCATTTTAATAAAAATGTATTTAAAAAAAAAAAAAAAGAAGAGACAATATACCGAGAGTCTAATCATAAGATTTGTCCTACGGGACTGTGACATTTATTTTCCAAAGTTTCTGAAGAATACGGGTCTGTGGTGATAAATACAGTACAATCCTTCCCCACTGTTCTGTCTGTGACGTGAGAGAGAATATATATATCTGGTTTGCAGTATTAATGTGCTAGGTAGATGCTGTTCCCCACTCACTGTGCAGCACATCAGGACACCTGGCCAGCTCCGGTGGCCCTCCGTGCTTGTGTGCAATCCGCGTGACCGCCACCCGCTGCCCCACGGCCGGGCCCCAGACGCGGGGTCGCCAGTCTGGAAAGTGCGCCCCTGGGCAGTGTCCCAGGATGACAGCAGGCAGCGTGCGCGTGCTGAGTGGGCTTCTCGTCCGTGTACGATGTTGTAAGAATCCAATCCATGTTCCACGTGGGAAGTCCGGGAGGAGCCGGGCCTCCCCTCGTGCTCCTCCTGCCCAGCCTCGGCCAGTTACCTCTGGCCCCGCGGTGGAGTGGGGTCCGAGCGCTGTGCGTGCGTCTGTGTGCATGTGGGGTCGCGGTACCGGCATAGTCTCTCCTGTATCTTTTTCCCTCTGGATCTCCGCGCCAGAAGCCTCTGCTCTAAGAAGCCCTGCAGCCTCTGCTATTGATGGGCGGGCGGCGGGGACCCACTCTGGCTCAGACTACCAGGCGCGCTCAAGCTAAGGGCCGCGGCTCACGGTGGTTCTTGGCAAATGCCGGTTCTGGCCGAGGCGCCTGAGCTGGGGACCGTGGGGGAGGCAGGGCTTGGGCCCAATCCGTGCGGCGATGGTCGGGGAGTTCTGTGCGCAGGGGGCCCCAGGCGCTGGGGGGGCGCAGTCTGTTAGCCCTGCACCTGCTCTGTGAAACTCCGAGTGGTGACACCTTGAGTGGACCGCTGGCCCGAATGCAAATGGCTGCGGCTCCCGTTTCTCAGGTTCCTCACTGCCAGCCTCCCGCCGCCAGCGTGCGCGTGGAGTCCGTGTCGAAGCCCGCCCCAGCGCCCGGGCCCGGTTCACCCTGCTGTCAAGTCAGGTGTGCCTTGCTCCCAGCAGCCTGAATGTAGGACGGGGTTCGTTGTCAAGGGAAACTGGGACTCAGTGCGCCCCTTAGAGGAGGCCTCCTCGCGCAACCCCCGTCCCGCGTGATGAGGTCCGCGCCCAGTGTGCTGGATGTACCGCCTCCGTGGGGGCCGCACACTCCGCCCGGCCGCTGGCCCTGCCCGCCCTCCTGACCTCTGTGCCCTGGGAGGCTGCCCCGACCCTGCTGGCGCCGCCCCAGCCCCCGGCTGCCCGGCGTTCGCGTGTCACTTTGTCGCGTGTTGCTTTTATTGCTGTTCAGTGTGAATGTTGCTATTTATTTCCCCCCTCCGCCCTGGTTCCTATGGCCAATGTGGCTGTGCCCTGCATGTGGTGCCCGATGGATATGCGAGCGGCCATCTTCCCCAACTTTTATAAATTGTTACTCCCGTGTGCCGGGTGATTTCTGTCTGCGAGCCACAGTGTAGTCTTTCTGGATGAGTTGCTTTCCGTAGTCTCTGCGCAGTGTGATTTCACATTGGCCTGCGAGGTGACTCAGATGTTATTTTTGCAAAGCTGTTTTGCAGTGAGATTCTATATTTGATACGATGTTAGGGTGGACCGCAGGCAGGCTCGTGTCCAGAGGGGCCCCGGCGGGCGGCTGCGGCCTGTGGAAGGGTTGTCTTTGTGGGTGTGCTCCCTACGCCGGAGGCAGCTCTGGGAGGGACAGCTTGAGGGGCTGCCTGAGCTGGAGAGCTGCCGACCCCGGAGGCCCTGAGAAGCCATGCTAACCTCGCCCGTGACCTCTGTGTGACCGCCCTCGCGCTCGTGGGGAAAGGAATGTACGCCGCCGCATGGTGTGGCGGCTCGAGGCCCTGCGGCACGGACACACCGCACGCGTGGCCTCCTCACAGGGCTGGCTGTGTCGCACGCGTCGCCAACTCTTTTCTCTAAGGAAGATTTCAACTCAGAATAATTGCACTGATTTTTTTTGGGGGGGGGCAACTTGTTTCTGTTGCGTCCGACTCGGCACGTGCGTGCTGGCTGATGCTCGTGAGTGGGTTCGTGGTGCTGGGCGTGACAGGCGGCCCCGTGCGTCCTCAGTGCTGCGTGGGCTTGGGTCTGCTGCCCGCCTCTCCTCGTCCTCTTGTTCTGGAAGGAACTTTTCCACCTCCTGGCAGCAGGGCGTGCTCCCCCCCAAGCACTTTGCCCTCGATCCACCCAGGCTGTGGCGGCGGCATGGCCCGGGGAAGTGACGGCGGGGTCACCGCTGTGTCAAAGCCATCGCTGGTGGCTGCGGCTCGGGAGTCGCCTGAGTGTCCACGCGGGGCCTCGCGTGGGCTTCTCCGGTTGTGTTCTGCAGTTTACTGTCTCGAGTGAATGTATCGGCCTCGCCAGGCCACTGAGGAAGGTGGCGTCTAAATACCTTTTAGTTTAAAAATTACAAAAACAAAAGCAAACCAAGCGCAGATAAAAGCTACCTCTGAACTCCCCAGTGGATTCCCGTGTGCTCTTAGGCGTAGCTGTCTACACTGAAAGAAGCCAGAGTGTTCCCTGACCACACGGAGGGGTAACATCTGTCTGCCGCTTGCGGCTTAAAAGCCCAGTGCCAAACCGTGGCCGGGGCGGCCCCCGCCCGTGTGGGCCTGGCTGGCGGCAGAGGCGCCGTGTTGGCGTACGTGCGCTAAGACCCGGCTTTGCCCCGTCCCTCCAGGAAGGCACTTAGGAGTGGGTTAAAGTGGCCTCCCCTGCTCTCGGCCGCCCCCTGTTCTACACGCTGTAAAATCCCTGCGGTGCTCCACGCCGACCCTCACAGATTGAACACAGAAGCCAGTGCAGGCAAATGGGCCTTCTCACCTTGGGACGTGAGTTACCGCACGCGACTTGGCAACGTGCTAAGGGTTGAAGGCAAGGCGCTCTGTTCCAGTCCAAGGCCCCCCGCTGGAGAGGAGGCGTCTGCTGCCGCTGCTGCCTCCAGTGGCTGCGGTTTGCCCTTGGGGCTGCTGTGTGGCTGCGCCCGACAGCCCTAACCCCGGTCTTGGGCGTCACTCTCTTTAGCGCTGGTTCCCGTCAGTGCTTCCCGGATCCCGGGAGCGCACGCATCCCTGGCCACCCGTCTGGGTGCGCTGCCTGGGCCTGCTCGCGTGCTGTGGCTCTGCCGGGGCTTCCAGCCAGAGCCAGCGCGGAGTGCCGGGTTCAGCAGCAGCGGCCTCTGCCACTGTCTCCCGGTCGGGCGGGTCACCCCGTGCACCCCCACCTGCCGCGGGGGCGCTGGAGGAGGCTCTACCACCCCGTGCTCTGGGAGCCGGGGGCAAGGCCATCCTCCTGGTCCCTCCTGCACCTTCCAGGTCCCTCAGCCCACCGCAGCTCCCAGGATCCCACTGTGGGGAGAGGGGACCCGGGCCCCTGGAGGCTATGTGTGCCGCTGCAGGGGTGGGGGAGGGTCCCCACCAGAGCAGCCTGGTGCCTTTACGGTGGGCGTGGTCAGTGAGTCCTTCCAGCCCTGACACTGTGACCCGGAGGGCGGTGCCAGCAAAACCTGGCAGTGTGCTCTCCAGGGCTCAGCACGAGCACTGTCGCCCGTGGGGGTGGGGGCAGGGGGTCTTTATAAAGGAGCTGTCGTTGTGTGTGCAGAGTGTGTGAGGGGCTGCTCGGGACGCCGCCTCCTCGGCTCCTTGGGGTGGGACGGCCACACGCTCGGTCTCCAGGTCTCCCCCAGCCAGGGGCTGAGCCCTGTCTTGGCCGGTGGTCTGGTTTACTGGCTTGAAGTGGGGAAGTCACCCAGTGTGTGTGGCTGAGAGAGCGTCTCCCTCGCAGAGCCCCGGGCCAGGGCGCCGGGAGGCGAGTCCTGAGCTGACGGTGGGTGTGCGTTCGAGCTGTGACTTGAGGCTTCCTAACCGTAGAGGCGAGCAGGTTCTTGTGTTTAAACAATCTGAGGGGATGATGACGACGTTGCGTGCGCCAGAGCGCGGTACCAGGGAGAATGCAGGATCTCGGTCCAGACTTTTCTGCGGCCCGCTCACCCGACACGTCCCGAGGGACTCCACCCCGTAGTCTTATCGACTTTTCTAGTTTTATTTTATTTTTATAAAATAATTGAAAAAGAACCAAAAATGAATTCAGACGTCCCCCAGGTGGGCCTCGCCCCTCGACTTGCCCCTCTGGAATGAGAACGCGCCGCGGCTGCAGGTGGCCCCGGGGTGCGCGGCGCCGGGTGGACACCACGCAGTGCTGCCGGGACTGGCAGCCCCGTAAAGCTGTGCATATGCATCGGCCTCTCTCTGCTTTCCCCTTGCTGCGTGGACTGTGCGGTTCATCCTGACGTTGCAGCACCCGCTAAACACAGCGCTGGGGCTCCCTGTCATCGTCCCTCCTGTGCGTCCCGAGGATGTCCCGTGCTTGCATGATGCTCCGTGGTAATGCCACTTAAATTAAGCCTTAATCAGATGTGCATGCCGTGCGTTTCAGAGGATGCAAAAAAAAAAAAGAAAAGACCTGGCAGAGTGAGCCGCAGGAGGCTGCGACCCCCGTTTTCTCTGGAGTTAAGGGAAGCGCTCAGTGATCCACCTCCCTCCCTCCCTCTCCCCTTC